AGAATTCCTGTGGGTCCTTGGACAAGTCAATTGAGCTTCTCTTGGGCCTCAATAATCCACTTATTAAAAAGGAAGAACATCTCATTCTAGTGAGTGAGGCAGCAGGGGTGATAGACACTGCAGGCCCCAGAGCAAGGTGTAGGGGGACGGCTCTGAGATCCTGGAAGGGGTGGGACTCAGGCAGCCAGCCTCTGGTGCTGCCTAGACCGTTGCACTGTCCCAGCCAGCCCTCAGAGCCCCACGAAGTACATAACGCTGCATGAATCGAAGGGGTTTGGGGCGCCAGCCACTGCTGTTGCCACTAATCGCTGGGCTCTGAGGCAATTACCTCCTTTGCTCCTCCCTCCCCGCAGTTGGTAGGCCTGATGTGAGGATTAAATCCACCAATAATTATAGCATTCTCCAATATTAAGTTAATAAGAGCCTTCTAGACAGATAACTAGGGTACAGATCAGACATCTAAACCCCTTAGGATATGTCTACACTAGCCCCCTAGTTTGACCTAAGGAGGCTAATATAGTTCCCTAGTTCAAACTAGGGAGGCTAATGTAGGCTTTTGAGGTTGCAAATCAAGCCCGGGATTTAAATATCCCGCACTTGATTTGCATCTTCCCGGCCGGTCGCCATTTTTTCAATGTACGAGTCCAGACTAACTGCCCGCGTCTACATGCGGCAGGGACCTGGTAGTTCGAATTAAAGCTCCTAATTCGAATTACCGTTAAACCTCCTTGCAGGAGGAATAACAGGTAGTTCGAATTAGGGCTTTAATTCGAACTACCGGGTCCCTGACACGTATAGCCATGGGCAGTTAGTCCGGACTAGTGGCATTTAAAAATGGCGACTGGATGGGAAGATGCAAATAAAGCCTGGGATATTTAAATCCCGGGCTTCATTTGCAACTTCGAATGCATACATTAGCCTCCCTAGTTCGAATTAGGGGCTAGTGTAGACATACCCTTAGATCTTTGGAAGAGTTTGACTATATAGGTTGGACCTCCCTGGTCTGGCACCCTCAGGACCGGAGCTATTCTGGACCAGGGAATTTGCCAGGTCAATTAAGGTCATTGCTTCCCGGCTGGCTGCCCCTGGGGTTCCTGTCCATGGGGCTCCCTGCCCTATCGTTGGCCCCACTAATGCTGCCCAGATTGTTTGTCCTATTTTGGCAACCAGCAGGCTTTGCACATAGACTGACCACTTCTGCTACATACTTTCCAAGGGACCCCATGTAGAACTGGCACAAAGCATATGTGCAGTTACCTGGAGGACTTGTATGGGCAGCTGACAAGTCACTGCTCACCTCCTATATAGTTCCAGAGAGAAGACAATCCTACATGTTACATCAGGGGACCAGCAATGTAGTTTTAAGGCCACCATATCCCAAGCAAAGCAGATAGCGAGGATATTTTAACTGCTGGCAGGAAGTTTGTCCATCTTTTCTACCTTGTATTTGTGAGGTGTCTGCTACTAGGATTTTTTTAATACAATACATTTAAATAACATTAACAGTATGAGAATGGACTCTCATAGCCTGTTCCTAAGTTCCCCCTGCTAGCTGTCCTCTCATTGGAGACGAGGAATGCTTCTCCTGTTGGAGGGGCTAGGGAGAATCTCTATTCTCCTGGAGGCCTTAGTATAGCTCTGTATGTACAAAGTTAGGTCTTTAGCAGTCAGCTAAAGACCGAGGTGGGAACTGGGGAGAATTCTTTCACCCATATCTCAGTGAAATGACTTGGGGGAAATAACAGACCCAAATGTAAGCTTGAGCACATGCACTGAATTTCTGCTGTTCCCTCTAAGACAGGGGTAGGCAATAATTTTTGATGGGGGGGGGGGCACTCCAAGAATTTGGTAACTGAACTCTTCCATTATATTAATGGAGGAGGTATGGGGATCTGGGATAGATCTCAATGCCTCCCATCCACTGCTGAACAGCTGATCAGCAGCAGGCAGGAAGCATGGAATGGGGAGAGGAGCTGATCGGCAGGGTGGCAGTTGAGTGCTCTGCCTCCAGAGCCCCACAGATTTGGCATGGATGAGCCTGACCATAAGGATGTCAGCTTAGGCCAGGGAGAAAAGGGTATAGATAAGTCAATGGGATCACTAACGTCTATACAGAATTTGGCCCTAGGTTTGCAATATCAGGAGAAAGGGGAAGGGACAAAGAGAAATCTGGACCTTGGAATTGACTCCAGGGCCATTGGTGACAAGCCAGCATGCTAAATCAGTAGGATTAAGAGGATAGGCAGGTCGGAGGCAAACAGATCATGGCTGCTCACACAACCCAAAGGAGGGGGGATAGGGCCTGCTCTGCTTCTACAATCAGGTCCATGTCTTCTACTTTCAGACCCCGCAGAAATCCTTTCTGGTGCAGGTAGTCTAGCATGCAGTGTGCTGGTACACGCAACCTCCAAAGACTCCCATAGGACTAACAGCTCTTTTACCTCCATCTGAGGGGTCTTTTGTAAGACTTTCCAAAGCTACTGGACCTCCTCTGGAACTGGAAACTGGTCTTGGTAACCAATCCATGACAGTCAAGGGGGATTTCCTCACAGAGCCCCTGCCTCACGACCCTCAGCTTGATGTGGGCAGGTGATGGAGTCCCCTTCAGTGTATCCAAGGATAGTCCTGGAAGATACCACTAGGAACAGAAAGCTCTTGGTTAACAACTGGAGGACCTGCCACTCATTCAGCACATGGGACTCATCACCCCTTGTGTTACCATTGTATACTCCAAGAGGCAAGTGCTGCCTTTCAGACTGCCTCTTGGACCTTCTTCAAGCTAGTCTTTTGGAAAGTTGCACCTTGCCCATCCCTCATTCCTGGTTCTCCAGACCTTGCCATTGGGCCTCTGCCCCATGAGGCCTGCTGGGTAGCAGGCAGCAGGTTTAAAACTAATAAATGGGTAGCAGGTTTAAAACTAATAAAAGTAAGTTCTTGTTCACACAGCGTGTAGTCAACCTGTGGAACTCCTTGCCAGAAGAGGCTTTGAAGGTTAGAACTATAATAGAGTTTAAAGAGAAGCTGCTAGATAATTTCATGGAGGTTAGGTCCATAAAAGGCTATTAACCAGGGGATAAAATGGTGTCCTTGGCCTCTGTTTGTCAGAGGCTGGAGAGGGATGGCAGGAGACAAATCGCTTGATCATTGTCTTCGGTCCACCCCCTCTGGGGCACCTGGTGCTGGCCACTGTCGGTAGACAGGATACTGGGCTAGATGGACCTTTGGTCTGACCCAGTACGGCCGTTCTTATGTTCTTATGTTACCTCCACATCACCCAGACTGGCTGTGCCACCTGCAGCTGATTTGTTTCGGAATCATGAATGGGAAACAACTGTATATGCTCACCCTTCATGCCCTTCACTTCCTCATCCTCTTGTCCCATCCTGACACCAAGGCTATGGCTATACTGTAGCCTTCTTGTGGAATAGCTTATGCAAATGAAGTGTGACATAGAATATTGCCGCGCATCATTTGCATAATTAATTAGCAGCCACTTTTGCACGAGAGGCTTTTGCACAAAAAGGATCTGTTTACATGGCTCCATTTTGTGCAAAAACCCCCTCTTGTGCAAGAGCTGGTCTTCCTCATTTTTTCAGGAAGAATGGCTCTTGTGCAAGAGGGGTTTTTTGCACAAAAGCCTCTTGCGCAAAAGTGGCTGCTAATTAATTATGCAAAGGAAGCATGGTGATATTCCATGCTGCGCTTCATTTGCATAAGCTTTTCTGCAAGAAGGCTACAGTGTAGCCGTAGCCCAAGTAGCAGGATGTTCTATCACCTATGAAAGATGAGGAGTCATGGTGGACCAGCCTGCATTCCATTCTGGTCCCCTGGCCCACCAGAGATATTAGTTGGCAGCTCCTTGAATCATGTGCCTGGGTGAGTGCTGGCACAGTTCACCACCCCCCTGCCCAATACTTGCCCCTTCTCTGGTGTGAAGGAGACATTGGCACACACCTACTTTGAGTATGCCAGGTTTAAACCCCTTTTTTGGCATTTGGTATCTCCAGAACCTTCTCCTCAGGTTTTGGCTGCACTTCTCAAATCTCCTAATATTTGCACACCCCATCTGTGGCTCCATGAAGTCACGAGATTTCCATTTCCACTTCCTCTTGGCACTGGGAAAAGTGTCCGTCCATTATACCAGGAGGAGGATGTTGGATGGGGGAGAGGGAGGCTCTGTAACAGCAAGGCTTATTTCTCCTCCCTTAGGCCATATATCCCAGCAGAGTTCCTCTGGGCCACTGCCACTGGCTCCCTAGATACCTTTGAAGAGCAGCAGGCACTGTCTGGGAGTTTCTGCTTGGAATCCCCTTCTGGTTTCCTAATGTTGATCCTGTGGCCTTTGTTCCAGTCTAAGTTTTATCATTTGTTGTCCCTGGTATTTACTGGGGATCTGGCTGGGTAGCTCTTCAATGAGCTTTGGATCAGGATCCATGCCTAAGGGTGTGTACAAAAACAGCACAGAAAAAAGCTCTTAAAGAAAGTTTTTAAATTCCTTAATTTCATATTCCCATGCACTTTCTCATGGGATTCAATCAGCATACCATTTTGTTCACTGGTGATATATTTGTCTTAGGTCTGTCAACTCCCTGTAAAATATCACAGCCCATTGCCATGTAATGTGTCACAGCATGATAAGGAACTTTGCTACAACAAGGGTCTACATTAATAAAAAAGAATTAAAACTAAGGAAGAGAAACATAAAATATGGATACATATTGTAGTTCTGTACATGAACAAGTCTTTCATACATTAAATCAAATGAGGCTGAGAGATCTAAGGGCTTCAGGCAAAGCTGGAGAAAGCAAATCATAGACATGCTATGCTTCTTGTACTCTAACAAATATTCATTTATTCAAACCCCTCAGTAAGCTGTCACAGATTTGAAAGTTTTGATGGCAGGAGGTGTAAGGAAAAAAAGAGGGAATCCAGATTTCCCCCACCCCTCCTTCATCATTAGTGAGATTTTCCAAGAAACTCTATTTGGGGAGTGACTGACCTACAAGGGGCAAAGCCATTTGTGAGAGCTACTGTATTATCAGACAGCAGTGCCTCTAGCCATTGTAGTGGGAGCAAAGAGTTTACTGAAAGAAATGGGTGAGACTGAAGAATTTAGTGTGAGGAAACATTAGTTTTGCTTAGTCCCCCTTCTCTACGGACTTTTTCCTGATATTCTTTGTATTCCAGCAAAGCCTGTCTAAGACTTTCTGAGCTCACAGCTACATTGCTCCTCACCCCTGTTTGTTGCTAGAAAATTATGTAAGTTTTCTCTTTATTGCTGCCATTTGGAATTGTACATTCTTGCATGAGCCTGAAACTCTTTATTCTCTGAATCACAGTATTAGCATTATGCCGTTGTGATATGTACAAGCACAGTATACAGTATGTTTCCTGCTAACATGTTTCAGTTTGCTTTAACTGTAAAGCACTAAGTTTTCTTCTCTCCATTCTTTAGTAACAGGAGTTTGAATGAAGAATCTTCAGGACAAAGAAGCTAATAGTTGAAATGCAGTTTGTATAAAAGTGTCTTTTGAAATGTTGCACCATACTAACATGAGAATTTAGTGTCTATGTGTATAATAATTGGGATCTAAATATCTATGACAATTTTTAGAGAAAAATGCTTTAAAATGACTTTTTAACATTATTGAATTGTGTAATTAGCATACATGAAATAACAAAGAGAAAGTTAAGCATAACTTGATTACAAGCTATAAGAATATGCAAGGGAACAAATAAATTGTGGGAATTACATTCTAGTAGAGGAAGATGTAACATAAACCACTGGTTGGAAGTGAAAACTATATAAATTCAGTCTAAGCATATGGAACAAATTCTTAATGGTGAGAATAAGTAATCATTGTAATATTATCAAGGGCAGTGGTAGATTTTCAATCATTGACCATTTAAAAATTGCTATTGGATATTTTTCTGAAAGACCTGTTCTTGGAATTATTTTGGGGAAAATCAATGTATCATACAGGAGGACAGACTAGATGATCACAATGTTCCCTCTGGACTTGGATTCTAAGAATAGAGTCTCTTGCTTTTATATCTACTTATCAAATGTACAGTATGTTACGAATATTGTGAAGAATCCAGTGTAGGACCTGATCCTTCAGCTTATACTCAATTACATAATTTCACTGATTTCAGAGATGTTATTCACATGAGTACCAGTCTTTGGATGCATATGATTATTGATAATGATGTATCCTAATAACATAGGCATGTTGATATTCTATCCTTGATGCTCACATTATGTGTGAATTAGATTGATACCAGAATACTATGTGTAAGAGACTTGTACCTCTGTTTTTAGCTTTCTTTTTTAAGAAATAAAGGAAAAGGATAATGCATAGTTAATCCAAATTAAATGTTACAAGACTAACAATTATATGAATAGAAGACTTTCCAGTAAAAATTATTAGGGGTTAGCTGAGTTGTGCACTTTGCGTTTAACTACAGGTTTGAAACTTTCCCCAAAGTCTACATATTGGGAAGAAAGGATTGGTTCTTTCTCATCTTTAGGAGGATGTTTCTCTTGGTCTAAAATCTAGAGTGACTGATGTGTGTAGAGTCAAAGTGTATTGTCAAATGATTCAAAGTTGCTAAGAATGGTGCTGCCCTAAACCCCTTAATTTCAGTGACAGCCGGATTGGGCTGTAGATTAACTTCTTAGCATATTTCACTATATATAATTTTGAGCCTTATCCTTCTTTAAATGAGGTCAGTGACAAAACTCCATTGACACCAATTGATCTTTGGTTTGAAAGTTACAAGGAGTAAATCTTTTTAATGGGATGATGTCTTGTAGATAATATCATCCAAGAAATAGTCCATACACTGTAATTAAATTATTAAAATATTAAAGAGAAAACAATCTATGTGAAAAATAAGACTGAATTATTTCAAACATGCAGCATGTCTAGTAAAGTGAAAAGCTGCTTTCTTAAGATGGCCTTTCACACCAAACTGCAAGGTTCAATATTTATCTTTGTCATGCAGTAGAGAATGATTGAATTGCACATATAGTTTACCAAACTTGTGAAGAGAAATCTAGTTATAGGAGGTGAATTAGGGTGATTTGTGACTCTTTATGTGGTGGATAATCATCAGACATATATTTGAAAATAATTACAGTGCATATTTTAAGTCTTTATGCATGCAATGTTTGTGTTTATATTTATACATATATGCGTGTGTATATATATTTGCAATCCCCATCTATTGTGGGGATTCCCTATCACAGTAACCCCAGCTTGAGGGGCTATTGAGTGATAGTAGCAGATTAGCCTTAATAATAAACAGATCTAATTGTAAGCGGGGGAATGATCCCGCTATTGTGGGGAACTTTCCTGGCTTCTATACCACCCCGGTGAAATGAACCAGCGAAAGGATCTGAGTCCCCGCTCCCACTTCCTTTACCCCACGGCTCCCTGATCCTGAGGGCTCCCCCTTCACTCTCCTGAGTAGCAGAGCCCTTGAAACCCCAACAAGGCTGGGCCCAGGTTTCCTGGGGCTTAATCCCTGACCTTGTAGTCACTAGGGGCAGGAGTTAGGGTGTCCCCACTCCGAGGTGCTCTCTCTACACTGCAGGCCTTCTTGGCCCAGTGATCACTTCATAAGGTTCAAAGCAAATACAATTTATTAAACAACAACGGATTAAAGAGAAAAGAATAAGAAAAAAATGAGAATGGTTAAATGAGAACACACAGCCCTGCTCTGTAGCACAGGGACATCAAAACAGCAGCCTGCAGAGTATAAGGACAGTCCACAGTCTCTTTCTTAGAGGCCCTGGATCTCTCCCAGTCCAGAGCCTTTCCCCACATTTTGCAGGTCCCAGTAGCTCACCACATCCAGCTGCAGGCTGTGCTGCTTGGCCAGTTACAGCTCCTTGTGTTGCTTCTCTGTTCCTTTTGGCTTTCTGAGCACTGCCAGTCTGCTGCTCAACACAGGGTCTGCACTGCTTGGCCTGTCTGTGTCTGGTTCTGTCGCTGCAGGACTTCTTCTTGTACTCCTCTTTCAGCTCTCTGTCTTTGCCGGACCTCTTCTGCACACAGCTTGTTTGTTCAGAGACAGAGCCAGAACAATCCCCACTTACAACCTGTCAGTCAGGCTGAGCTGGAGTGTTGACTGCTTTCCATTGTCTCTGGGGTCTGTCAGTCTCATGAACCCTTCCCCTTCTGAAGCTGGTAAACCAAAAAACTCCCACAGAGTTTTAGTAAGGGGTAACAGTCCCCTTACATAATTATTCAGTGTTCCTTTCATAGGTGCATGTACTGAAGAAATTCTACAATGAAATTTCCTGTTCTGATAGTCCTGGGGATGCTTTTCAGTATTTCCCTCTGTCAGAATTTGCCGAATATTGTAGGTATGTAAACATAATCCTTTCATAGTTGATTTAATTCAGAGCTGATAGAGAATATTTCTCTTAAAAAATGTGCTGATCAGCTTGGAACAGAAAAAAAAATTGTGAAAAACGCCAGCATATTTTCCTGATTTTTTTTTTTAGTCAAAATAAGGTTCAAATGAACATTTTCTAAGCAGTTATTTACTAACTGACAATATATTTCTGCAGGGAGATTTGGTTTTAATTCTCGATTGCAGTGTTTTTCAGGAATTTGGGTTAGACTGAAATAAGCGTGTGCGCGGAGATAGAGAGAAACTGAAGAATAGCCTGACTCAAATCTTTCACCTCTGAGGTGTAATTTAATATTATGCTTCTTTTATTTATTACATGCAACAGCATAAAGAAGTTGCAGTAGACAGCTAAATTATGCTACTGCTTATAATAAAAAAGAACACACAATATAACAGTGCAACTTGTTCTCAAATCTTAAGTAACTATCAACTGGAAAAGCATTCTGGATATCATCATGCAAACACATTGGTTTAGGGTTGGCCCTGCTTTGGGCAGGAGATTGGGTTCAATGACCTCCTGAGGTCTTTTCCAGCCCTATGATTCATACATAATGCACATGTCATTTTGCTTTGTAATTCCTACAATAGCTTCAGTACAGTCACAAGGCATAGTTTAAAATCTGGCATCCAGTGATGTGAAAACAAAACTATGCAGAAGAAGCTACATCAGCTGAGGTCAGTACTGAAGCCTAGATGCTAAATAAATAAGTGGTTGGAATTCTATTTTTATCTAACAGAGTAAGAAACACATTTCCTGACAAACCTCTTCTTTCTTTCCTCGTTATGTAATTGTGTTAAATAGTTATTTTCCAGGAAGCCACTATTAAAACATGGAAAGCCAAAGACTCGTAGTTACCAACCAGTATTTTTGAAAAGACATTCATGCAGAACAATTAGAGTAGTAAAACTAAATAAATATGGTGTTTCCATTTAAAAACAAAGGATTGCTTTGTAATTAAGGTGCTGATTCAGAACCTTTGTGTAAAAGCGATCAGACTTGTTTAATGAGGTATCTTCTGACACAGTGCTCTTTAAAATACAAAATCAGTGATGGCTTTGGAACAAAGGAACTGGCACTGCATGGGTGAATTCACCTAACTTCACCATTAGGACCTGAACGGTAATGCTGGCCTCTTCCTCTGACTAAATATCCTTGAGAATGTTAGGGGAGGGCATACAGCCCATGAAAAGGACAAATTCAGCACCTTCTCCAGAACAATGGTGAGTCAGCCTGAGTCAAATCTCTGAGGGTCTGTCTACACAGCAATTAAATACCTACAAAATGATCTGAGTCAGCTGACTCAGGTACAAGAAACTTGGGTTGCACAGCTATTAAAATTGCCTTGAAGATGTTTGTGCTTGGGCTGGAACCTGATCCCTGGACCCTACTCCACCACAACTTTACAACTTTGCAACCAGCGCCCCATGAGTCTGTGTAGCTGATCCAGGCCTGCCATGGGTGTTTAATTGCCATGCAAACGTTCTCAGTGTATTCTGGCTTGTTCTAGGCAGCAGAACCAGGGGAGTCCTTGGTGGTGTGGTGGTTTACCATACTAGCAGCAGCTGCAGGAGTTCCTTCGGGGTAGGCCGAATTTGTCCAGGAGCACAAGGGTAGTGCACTGTGATCCTTAACAGGGTATTATGTGAGCTCCGCATTCCATCCCAGCATTAGCTTCCATTTGTTAGCAGAAGACAAAGGAAGTGGACCCACGGCTCCATCTCCTGCTAAAAATCAAGCTCTCTTAGCTCTTGCCAAGAAAGTTAAACAAGGAGAGGGACTTTTTAGTTATATAAATAAAAAAAGAATAGGAAAGGATGAGGTTGGGCTGCTGTATGGTGTGGATGGGAAGGAGATTAAAGATAATCTAGATATGGCCCAAAAGCCAACTGAATACTTTGTCTTGGTTTTCGATATGGGTGATAGCAGAAGTGACTATGAGGGGAAACCTAGGAAACCATGTGACGTCCAGCCCAGGGCAGGTCTGGCACAACCCCCACTACTCCAACTCTGCCTCTTCCCACTCCCACTCCTGCTCTGCTCCTGCCCCTGCCCTTGCTCCCACCTTGCCCCAACTCTTCCCCCATCTGATGTGGCCTGGGGGACTAGTGGGGCTGGTGCTGGCAGCAGAAGTCTGTCACTCCCTACACTCACCAGCAATGACGGGGAAGCAGAGCAAGACAGCTCACACTAGCTTGCTTTGCTCGCCCAGTCACTGTGCTTAACTTCCTGCCAGTGAGTGTGGATTGGTCCCGTCCCCTACCTCAGAGCCGTGCATGGGGAAAGCAAAGAAACTGGGGCTCCCTTGCTCTGCTTCCCATCACTGCTGTTGGTGAGGGAGAGGTTTTGCAAGCTCCAAGCTCCCACGCCCAGCTGTTGATCGGCCCCTCCCGCTTATGGTGTCTGGAAGCACATGCTCGCTCTTGTGCCCACCACACACCACCCCTGGGTGAAAGTATGGAACATGGCTTGAAGGCAGGATGGCAGATGAAAATGATTGTAGAGAAATGGATATTACCACAGCTGAGGTGGAAGAAACATTTAAAAAACTTAATAAGCTCAAATCAGGGAGACTGGATAACTTCCATCCCAGAATACTAAAAGAACTAGTATATGAGATGGCAAGTATAGTAGCAAAGATTTTTAACAAATCCATCTATTTGGGATAATATCTTGTGACCAGAGAACAGCTAATGTTGTATCTATATTTGAGAAAAGGGGTAGGGGAGTGACTCGGGCATTTACCGACCTGTAAATTTGACCACAGTAGTATGCAAGGGTTTAGAACAAATTGTGAAGGAAACAATAAATAAATTAATTGTGGGTAAATGGTAAAGGGGATGTAATGCAACATGAGTTTATGAAAGGTAGAGTCTGCTGGACTAACATGATTTCCTCCTTTTAGAAAATAACTGATTTTTTTAGAAAAGGGAAATGCAGTAGAACTAATATACTTGGACTTCAATAAAGCATTTGTCATGGCACCACATGGAAAATTATTAATTAAATGAAAGAAGGTAAATCTCATCCCACGAGGCATAACGGGGCAGTCGACAAATACCTTTGATGTCGACCGCGGAGCGTCCAGACTAGCACGCTGAGCCGACAAACAGCTGATCGGCTCAGCGCGGCAGCCATTTTAATTTAAATGAAGCGGTGATTATTTAAATCGCCACTTCATTTGGGTATGTCTAGTAAACTAATCTACATGGCTCTGGCGACAGAGCCTGTAATCTAGACATACCCTTGGAGTAAATAGTTCTATGCCAGTTGTCTCCAGGAGAGGTATTTGTATAGAAAAATACCAAGTAAATAAAATCTTTGGCAAAGGAAACTAATAATAATCAGAAAAACTAATAATAATCACAAAAACTTTTAAAAATTGCAGGGGCTGATCTTCTTCAGGAGTTCAGATTGTCCACAGCATCAGATATAAACAGAGTTGAAGGATCAAACTCAGGTTCTTTAGCTTACCGCATAAATCCTACCATATAGCTCAGGAAAAACACCAGGTATGCTATAAATTAAACTCTACAGGCATTTCTTCCTTAAAACAAAGAGATTTTGCTGAAGAAATGGATCACAGTTAAACACAGAATGTGAATAAGATTCAAGGCCTATATTAGGAAAAACACCAGGTATGCTATAAATTAAACTCTACGGGCATTTCTTCCTTAAAACAAAGAGATTTTGCTGAAGAAATGGATCACAGTTAAACACAGAATGTGAATAAGATTCAAGGTCTATATTACGACTGGTCTTTGTGCAGGTGTGTGGTTGGGGGTTGCAAAGAGGTATTCACCACGCAAGAGTCAAACTTGCTCTAGTTTCTCTTTGCACCTTGATGTAGGCTAACTTGCCAGGTGCCAAAAGAGGCTGCAAGGAAAATTCTGCACCTCATGAAGGGATTTTGCAGTCTGTGCACCGTTGTTTTCAGTGGAAGTTTGCCCGAGATCAAAATATAAAAGGAAGTTTGTCCAGCACCTCTGGAAGTAAAGTGTGTGATCTCATTAATATTATGTGGCCAAATCCTTAAAATGTGACTCTTAAAGTGCATCCATTAGCGATTCTCAAGCTGACTCTTTACCCCACTACAGCATTGTTACTATACTATAATTTAAATACTATAATTTAAATGCATTAGAGATTAAATTTGTTAAATGGGCTTTTGTTTACGTTGTGTCTCAATAGGTAGACCTTAATTGGACTGCATGTGTTCTTGTTTTAGTGTTGTTCATCCGCATGGCTTCCCTTCAGAATATTCCATCATGCTACTTTTAAGATGCTGGAAGACTCTCAACAAAATGTGTGGAATGTATGGCAAGTTAGTGATTCAGAAGGCAAAAACAGACTTGGCATTCACTTCTTGGGAGACAAAAAAATCTCTGGATTTCTTTCATGCCACTCCATCTAAAACACTCATGTTCAGGACATTCAGTGATGTGGGCAAGGCCTTTGATGGATCTTGGCATAAGTTAGCATTAAGTGTGAAAGGCAATGATGCAAAATTATTGATTGATTGTCAGGAGGTCAGTGCAGTTCCAGGAAATGAACAGAGAGATGTTTCCCGAAATGAATACACTTGGCTGGTAAAAAGATCAGTTTATGAATCTCCTGTTTTGGTAAGTAGCTCTTCTACCATGAATAATGTTAGTACACAGTGTCATCTTCTGGTAATATAGCAGAAGAAAGCCAGTAAGCTAGGTCAGTGAAATTAATTTGTGTTCAATGTTTTTCTTCTAAGTGTTCACCTGATTCTTTTTTAAAACACAGTTGCCTATAATTACTCATCTTGCTGACTGTGGGATTCCATTCCAGACACTATGTAATCTTCCATAAGGTGCAGTTTTTCTTAGCTATGGAAAGAAAAACCTTTTGTAAACCTTTTAAATGGATCGGTTCCATTTATATTCCCTCAGCCTTATAGAATTTAATATCTCTAGCTGCTTCTAGCTGATTCTTTTTTCCCCTCTTCACTTATTACCATTGAAATCAATGCCAAATCTTTCATTAATTTTAGAGGTCCAGAAGCAGGCTTTTAATTAATACAAATGTAATAGTAACTTTCCATATAGTTCTCTCTCAAGAGCTATTCAATACTTTCCTAAAAGTGGCACACAGTAGTATTTTATTATTTTAGCTAGAGCTCCCTCTGGTGGTTAGCACTTGGCTCTAAAAATTGTTCCAAATATTTTGAGCAGTAAAGATTTATAGTTACCAGCATTCAGAATAGTGGTGAAATATCTCCTACATGTAAATATAATAACAAATGGAATTACTGACCCAGCACAGGCTTTATGCTAGAGGTTACTACATTTTGATTTAGTATTTCTGTAGTCTGTAAATGGAAGCAAACATAGAAAAGTGACAAGAGCCAGTAAGATTTATTTTTTTATTTACACTAGGTCATTTTACTAGCAGATAACAAAGCATTCAGCAAGTGTTGGCTTGAAATTTTGCATTGTAAGAAGAAATCAGGCAGAGTAATTTAGAATTTAAAAAGACAAAAGCAGCAGAAGCAGAATTTGCTCTTTTAATGGCAGTACTCCAATGTAAGCTAGATTCTGCAGCCACTCCAGGTACAGAATCATTATTTAATTCATTGTGTGTGTGTGTGTGTGTGTGTATGTGAGAGAGATGTGCCAGGAAGGGGGAAGGAGACAGGAACAGTTGTTCTATGTCTGCAACTGTGCGTGCATACTGTATATATATGTCTGATGGAGAAGGAAGCAAATGTGCCTATGTGATGAGCACAAAGTGAGTAGTGGCAAGTGTGTGCACTTAGGGGTTTAATTAGCTTAATTCAATTATTTTATTTCAGGTAGATTTACAACAATTTGAAATGCACTGTAATGCAGATAAAGCTCATTCAGAAGGATGCTGTGAGCTTTTGGATATTGTGAGTTGGCTTTATGCTTTCTCCCATGAAGTCCTTTGCTTATGACTGTTCAGCACTAACCCACAGCATGGCCACAGATTTTACAGTGCTTTGTGTGTGAGAGACTTCCCTAAGTCACATGTCACATGAGGAGAAAGGGAAGTGTTTGGAAGCTGGGTGGGTCAGGATGGTATTTGTTAAAGGACTGAGGCTACATCTAGACTGCAGGCTTCTTTCAGAAGAAGCTTTCTTCCAAAAAAACTTCTTTTGAAAGAGAGTGTCCACATTGCAAAAGTTCATTGAAAAAGTGATCTGCTTTTTTAAAAGACAGAATCCAGACTGAATGGAAACTCTCTTGCATATAAGCTGTGATTGCTAGGGATGGAATGGCCATGAGGGCACCTGTGCTTTTTTCCTCTTTCCTCTTCTTCCAAAATAATTCCTTCTTCCCCATCTACACATGCCTTTTTGTGAAAGAGCTCTTTCGCAAAAAGACTTCTTCCTCATAGAATGAGGATTACCAATACCAGAAAAAACCCTCTGTTGTTTCAATTTTTTTGTGGAAGAGTGTGATTGCAGTGTGGACATTTCTCAAGTTTTGTCAGAAAAACGGCCGTTTTTCCTACAAAACTCTGTAGTGTAGACATACCCTGAAGATGGGACAGAATGGGGCATAGGGGTATTGTCATTACTGTGAGGATTTAGAAGCGCTTCATCAACAGGGAATGGGGCAGGGAGGTCATTTGTAGCTGAGAGTCAGATTGGGCCTTAGACTGCACCTCTCAAGATACATATTGGGTTCCCAGCAGGCCACTAAATTCAGGTTGTGTTGACAGATCATGAACACAGCAAGATCATACACTTAGGCTATGTCTAGACGGGCATGATTTTCCAGAAATGCTTTTAACGGAAAACTTTTCTGTTAAAAGCATTTTTGGAAAAGAGTGTCTAGATTGGCACTGACGCTTTTCCGCAAAAGCACTTTTTACGGAAAAGTGTCCGTGCCAATCTAGACGCGCTTTTCCGCAAAAAGCACTGATTTCTCACAGTAGGAAGTCAGTGCTTTTGCGGAAATTCAAGCGGCCAGTGTATACAGTCGGCAAGGTTTTCCGGACAAGCGGCTGATTTTCCGGAAAAACTGGCCAGTCTAGACACAGCCATAGTGTGTGCCTAGTGGCAGCTCTGTTGTAAGATTTAGAACACTTTCTAATGCCATTTGCACTGAACAGGGATGTCATGCCATCAGTTCAGTCATGTCTCACAACTCATTCTGTACAATACAGAAAATAAATAAAAAAAAGTGTATCTTCATTTTCAGTGTGAAGCAAGTGCTCAACAGGGTCTTGCAGGAAACACTTCATGTAAATGTGCCCATGGGAGACCAGGAAACCAAGGAACAATCAGCCCCACAGTATAATTTGGAAACCAGCTTTCTATTTTTGAAGATTTTTTTTTATTTTTGTGTAGAAATGATGTTCCTTTTTCTATTCTTGCACTAGGGGCAAAAAGGAGAGAATGGAGAACAAGGAAAGTCTAATAGTGTTGGAAAACTGGTAATTAACATTTATGCTTTGTCCTTAATCTTTTATATGTTTGAGAAAGTTTGTCCATCTGTGAGTCTGTCTGTCTGTCTTTGTTCAAGTACTCCTCCTAAACAAAAAGAGCTAGGACTACCAAATGCAGCTTCCTCTTATCATAACTTGAAACAAAGTAAGAGTTAGTTGTGCCAGGAAAATGGGATGTGCGTGGAATAGCATTGTGTCTCATAAAATGGAAAGGGGGCGCTGCTATATAATGACTATATGGGGATAGCAAGGGGCCAGAGATGGTGACTGGGACAGGTATAACCCTATTGGGACACCAGTGGGGCAGAGTTGGAGAAAGGGACAGCTATCTAGTATATAGATGAAAAAGTGTGTTTGTTTGTGTGCCTGTCTCTATCTGTCCCCAAGTGGGGAGATATGCAACTCACCCCCAGCTGTGTCTGCTGGAGCTGCAGTGGCCATAGAGAGGTACTTCTCACCTGGCCCCAAACTGCTGCTGTGAGAGAGGGCTGGGTAGTCCTCTCTTCCCAGGATAGCCTGCATATAGAACCCCTCAGCTCCAGCCCCACCTCAGAGCAATAATTTAAATGAAACGTACATTTTAATTTTATTTTCCAAAAAATCCCCAAAAATAATTGAGTTAAGCACCTGAGCAATGCTAGGTAATTCTCCTAGTATTAAATAAGACAACCTGCCTTCATTTGTACAGTCTGCATTGCTCAGTAATAAAGAAAACAGCTTTGGAAACATGTTCACTGTTGCTGTGCATGGTGGACAAAAGAGAGCATCAACAACAGCAGCACTAGAGAGAGTCAAAGAACTCTCCTTTGTTCTTTGCAGCTGCTCCTTTCATTTCTCACCTAGGCTCCTACTGAAACCTTGTGATCATGGGAATTTGCAGCTTCCTTAATCCAAGTTTGTTCAGTGGTCTGTGGTTCAACGCTTTTCATCCTGTGATATCCATGTTACAACGAAAAACAAGTTTCAGAGCCCTCTTCCAATGTAGCCACAAAGAAAATGAGGGTAGTCATGACTTCCTGATAGTACTGGGGGTCATGACCTGTGAGATGAGAACCCGTGTTCTGTGGTGTTACATTCTCAGAATACACACACAGAAGTTAAATAAAAACATAAATACTATTGCTGGAATGTTGCAATCTCACACTAATTTATTCTTTAGTAGTGTGACTAAAACAATATGACTTAAGAATCCCAAAACACATAGGGTATGTCTACACTACCCCGCTAGTTCGAACCAGCGGGGATTTAAAAATGGCAGCTCCCCGCTTATGCAAATGAAGCCCGGGGAATTCAAATCCCCGGCTTCATTTGCAAGTGCGGTATGCCTATATTACCCTCCTAGTTCGAACTAGGAGGGTAATATAGGCATACCGCACTTGCAAATGAAGTCCGGGATTTGAATTTCCCGGGCTTCATTTGCATAAGCGGGGAGCTGCCATTTTTAAATCCCCGCTGGTTCGTACCCCGTGTAGCGCGGCTACACAGGGCTCGAACTAGGTAGTTCGGACTAGGATTCCTATTCCGAACTACCGGTACACATCGTTCCACGAGGTGTACCGGTAGTTCGGAATAGGAATCCTAGTCCGAACTACCTAGTTCGAGCCCTGTGTAGCCGCGCTACACGGGGTACGAACCAGCGGGGATTTAAAAATGGCAGCTCCCCGCTTATGCAAATGAAGCCCGGGGAATTCAAATCCCCGGCTTCATTTGCAAGTGCGGTATGCCTATATTACCCTCCTAGTTCGAACTAGGAGGGTAGTGTAGAAATACCCATAGAGAGAAAACAGGATGCTCCCTAAAGTAGCAAAGCATACAGACATAAAAAGAGTTCATAGGTCAGTTTTGTGGTAGGAAAAGGTATGCCAATGTAGACACAGCCATAATGTTTATAAATCTCAACCTGCCTTCATTCTGCTTCCAAGACTCCATTATCTTCAGTGATTGATACATTACCAAAAATCTACTCAGATATAGTGTACCAGTCACTAAAGGCTGGCATAAGTTGTTTGTCACGGTAAAGATGAAAATGTACAAAAGTTGTTATGAACAACACTATAATTCACCCTTTTCAGCTTATATATTCAGGTGCAAAATTAATTTTATGCTACTAGTGGACAGCAATGTATCTTTCTTGTATTTAGTAATTTTATATAGATTACAGTTGCACTGATAATTCATAGTAGAAGTTAGCTGATCATGAGAACCCATATCTTTTCTTTTTTCACTATGCATGTATGTGTGCTTGTTGACTGCAGGGCCTTGTTGGTGATCCAGGGGATTTTGGTCCACCTGGACCAAAAGTTGCTCCAGTAAGCTATGTTTCTGCTTTATAAGAACTAACAACTCTAACCTACTAAAGAGAGAGGAACATATAGAATCACAGAATTCTAGAACCAGAAGGGATGTCAAGAAGTCATCTATTTCAGTCCCCCACACTCATATCCGGACGAAACACCATCTAGATCATCCCTCACAGGCATTTATCTAACCTGCTCTTAAATATCTCCAATGATGGAGATTCCACAACCTCCCAAGGCATGGTTATAAGGTCACTCTGTTTACTAGATCACCAGTTCAAATGCATCCCAAACTGCTAATAATTAGCCCCATAAGTTGTTTCCATCTATTGTGAATTGACTGGTCTCTAAAATGAGATGGTCTTAGTCCAGTTCCCACTAGACTGTGGTATCACAGGAACCATTATCACAATTTGCACTCATTAGTATCAATATTGGCAGCCTCAGAAGAGGGGCCTAGAAATGAATAAATGTGGAATTTGAAAGATCCTTTTATGACAGTAATGATAGTCTGTCTTCAACAGAGTGACTACACAGTGATTGGGTAGTATAGGAATATTTTTTCTGTAACTGCCTATTTCAAACTCAATTATTGGATGGAAAGCTTCATTCTCCAGAATTGTCACTCCATTATTTTGCATAAAACATAAACCCAAAAGTCTGACAGAGAAAGTCCAGATGCCCGGTAAGTGTATCCTGGACTTTTCAGCCAAAGCCCTCAGAAATGCCTCACTCTTAGCAACTATGGCACCAAAAATTACCATTTTAGTATCTTCAACCAGTAACAGGTCTCTTAGGCAGTCATTGGTTACCAGTTACAAAAATATCCATGGGCATGATCATCATAATGTCCCCAAATTCACTGACTGGTTCATAGGTTGGAGAGACTCCCAGGCACTTTTAAATCGCTGGGCTGACTGCTCCCTTTGCCCCCCTCTCCTCCATTGGTGGCCATGTATGGTACAGTTGCAATGGCTGGCTCTACCACCCTATGAACCAGTCAGTGGTGTTGGGTGGACCGTCCTATGCAGCAGGAGGTATGCTGTAACCTGTAAAGGGCTGGAGAAGATTACTCTTCTTAACCTCTCATTTCCCCAGTATAAGGGAACAAAACTAGAAGAACTGTGTCCCCTTGAGACATGTCTGAACTACAGTGCCTTCTAGAGCTGCTAGAATTCAGAAAGGTGGTGCAGCTATTCATATCTCGTACCTAGGGCTGTACCGAAAAGGACCATCTGGTCACATGATAATAAGCACTATGCCAATTTAATGTATTTACTGAATAGGGTCTTTAGCTTTGAAAACTTAAAATGTAGTAAGTGGCCCATTGATACTGAATATATGCTAGCTTATTGTACAAGGAAAATATTAAGATGTTATATTATTATTAAGAAAAACTAAGATTAAACCATCAGGTCACCACAATGGCATCGGTTTCTCAGATACTAGATACCTATGCCTGCTTGTACACTGTCACAATTATAATGACCACAGTTGGCTTTTGTGTTTTAAAAAAAATCTAATCAAAACCAATGCATGAATTGATTATCTGGGGTTTTACCGGACCTCCAGGAAGAAAAGGCACACCTGTTCCAAAGGTATTGTATGAATAAGCCTAACTTGTCCATCCTGATAAAATGCATAATGTTTTTGTATGTTTACTTGTTGGGATTTTATTAATTTACAGGGAATACGTGGAGATCCTGGATTACCTGGGAGAGAGGGGGATCCAGGGATAGAGGTAAAGGGGATGTGCAGTTATGAAGTAACCAGTATTTTGTTTCTATAATCTTAAAAACTAACCTCTTTGTCTTAATTTTTGTATTTTCTTTAGGCTTGTCAAGGATCTCAAGGGCCAGAGGGTGGTCAAGGCACTTTGGGTTTAAAGGTAGAGTTTTTAAAATTCGAATTTATTCCCTCAACTTTCTATTATTCATGTGTTTATACTTTTCTATGTAAATTAAAATAATCTAATTTACCTTCATGGTTTCTAGGAGAAGCAAGTCCTGATGGCCCTTGGGGAAGAACAGTAAGTATCATTCTGTTTGCAAGGGGCTCTGTCTAGTTGATCAGTATGATGGCTTTCTGGGATATTTTAAACATTAAAAAGGCAATAGAGCAGTTTTTAAACAAAGAGATGGGGAAAAGCCGATTGGTGCAGAGAAGCACATAAATCAGATGGAGACTTTTTTTACAGGAGAATCCATTGATAGAGATTCTCTAAGCTGTAGTCAGAAAGAGAGGAGGGGAGAGGACAAACCATGGGCCAGAGCAGAAAAACAACCTCATATAAAGAAATCCAATGCATCAGGGAAGGGCAGACAAATAAATAGTGGCAAATTTTTAAAGTGCTTCCTACACAAATGCTAGGAGTCTGACTAGTAAGATGGGTGAACTAGAGTACCTCGTATTAAAGGAGGAGATTGACATAATAGGCATTACTGACATCTGGTGGAATGAGGAAAATCTGTGGGTCATAATCATACCGGGCTATAAAATATATCGGAAGGATAGAGCAGGCTGTGTGGGTGGTGAAGTGGCACTGTATGCAAAATAGAATGTAGAATTAAATGAAATAAAAATATTAAATGAATCAACATGTTCAATAGAATCACTATGGATAGTAATTCCATGCGCCAATAATAAGAATTTAGCAGTAGGACTATATTATCGACCACCTGACCAGGATAGCAATACTGACATTGAAATGCTGAGAGAGATTAGAGAGGCTACCAAAATAAAGAACTCTGTAATAATGGGGGGTTTTAATTATCCCCATATTGACTGGATACATGTCACCTCAGGAAGAGAAGCAGAGATAAAATTTCTCAGTGGCTTAAATGACTTCTTCTTGGAGCAGCTGGTACAGGAACCCACAAGGGGAGAGGCAATTCTCGATTTAGTCCTGAGTGGAGCGCAGAATCAGGTCCACGAGATAACCATTACAGGACCGCTTGGGAATAGTGACCATAATATAATAACATTTAACATTCCAATGGTGGGAAGAACACCTCAGCAGTCCAGAACTCTGGCATTTAATTTCAAAAAGGGGAATTACACAAAAATGAGGAGGATAGTTAAACAGAAATTAAAAGGCACAGTGACTAGAGCCAAATCCATGCAAGCTGCATGGAAACTTTTTAAAGACACCATAATAAAGGCCCAAATTCAATGTATACCCCATATTAAAAACATAGTAAGAGACCTAAAAAACAGTCCCTGTGGCTTAACCACCATGTAAAAGAAGCAGTGAGGGACAAAAAGGCATCTTTCAAGAAGTGGAAGTCCAATCCTATTGAGATAAATAGAAAGGAACATAAACACTGTCAAATCAAGTGTAAAATTTAACAAGAAAAGCAAAAAAAGATTTTGAGGAACAGCTAGCCAAAAACTCAAAAAGAAATAGCAAAATGTTTTTTAAGTAAATTAGAAGCAGGAAGCCTGCTAAAAAACCAGTGAGTCCCTAGATGGTCAAGATACAAAAGGAGCAATCAAGGACGATAAAGCCATTGCAGAGAAACTAAGTGATTTCTTTGCTTCAGTCTTCACGGCTGAGGATGTTAGGGAGATTCCCGAATCTGCAGCGTCCTTTGTGGGTGATGAATCTGAGGAGCTTTCCTGGACTGAAGTGTCATTAGAGGAGGTTTTGGAACAAATAGAAAAACTTAATGTTAACAAATCACTGGGATCAGATGGCATTCATCCAAGGGTTCTAAAAGAACTCAAACGGGAAATTGCTGAACTATTATCTGTAGTTTGTAACCTATCCTTAAATCGGCTAACATATCTAATGATTGGAAGATAGCTAACGTGACACCAATATTTAAAAACGGCTCTAGAGGCGATCCTGGCATTTACAGACTGGTAAGTCTAACTTCAGTACTGGGCAAATTAGTCGAAACAATAGTAAAGAATAAAATTGTTAGGCACGTAGAAGAACATAATTTGCTGGATAGTAGATGGGGTCTCCTTCCGATCTCTTCCCTGAGAATTCCCTGCCAAAGCATTCTCCACAGCAGTGCCTATGCAGAAAGGCTGAAAGCAGTAACTCACCTCTAGTGGAATTGGGGATACCTGCATTGACTTTCTTTTCCTGGAGTTTACATGCTGCCAGTTTTCTTCCCTGTTCTGTACTGCCCTCACTGTTTTTTCAGACTGCTGTGCCTGCTTAAATGCTACCTTCTATCAAGGAAGTCTTCATCTTCTCTGATGGAATGTAGGGTTGATACTTGGGCCTCAAGTCCTCTAATCTTTTCTTCCAAAATGGCAACCAGTTTGTACTTAATGCAGATGAAATCCCTTCTCTCTTCCAGAAGGAAGACAAACATGGCACATGCTGTGCAGGTAACAACTATCCATACCTACCTTTCTTCTGCGAGATTCCTCAGATGTTTTTAAATTCCTCCTTGAAGGGGTCATGTAACTGCAATTGCAAATCTTAGTTAGACTTTCTCTGGTAGTGTAGACCTGGCCTTAAAGGGCCTATCTGGGCTGCAGCTTAACTTCTATCTGACTGTTCCCCTACAGAGAGTTGTCAGACAGATGCAAGGATGCTACTACCAATCTGAAGAATTCTTTCTCCTCATCCCTACAAATGCTGTTTGTGATAGAGGAACCTCCTTCCTCTGAGAGAGCCCAGTTCCAACCACGAAAAGATGTGTTTCTTTCTTTTTTTTTTTAAAGAACCCTACAGGGGTGGAAGTGGGGGAGAATCTGAGAGTATGTCTACACTACAGCGCTAATTCGAACTAACTTAGTTCGAATTAGTTAATTCGAACTAAGCTAATTGGAACTAGCACATCTAGAACTAAAAACTAGTTCGAATTAGCGTTTTGCTAATTCGAACTAGCGCGTCCACACTGATTGGACGCAGGGGGGCATTTAAGGGCACCTGAAACAGGTTCTGGCAGGGCATCAGGTCAGTAGTTGCTTTGTGTGGCTGCTGTCTGAGGCTATCTGAGGCTCGAGCTTAAAGGGACCCCCCTGGACAGCAGGTTCTCAGCTTTTCCTGCTTCCTTGCCAACCTCGCCGAGGGACAGCAAAGCGTTGGTCTCTGTGCCCATCTGTGTCAGTGCTTCCCTTCGGGGGGGTTGCCGCAGGTGGCAACATGGAGCCACAGCTCGCCCTGCACCTTCTGGTGCACTTTCTGGACTTGCTGCTGCAAGC